TCAACTCACTTTACAATGCATATTAAAGTTGCATGTGTATTAAAAGCCTAAATGAGGAATGTAACTTAAAATTTTAAACAAGTAGATATTTATGTTACAATTTTTTCAGAAGGACTTGATTTAGGAGAAAACAAGACAGGAAGATTTGATATTAGTTTCATGTAATATGTGCATTATAACAAAAAAGCCAAAATTATGTTGTGTAAAATAGAAATGATTTTTAATAACATAACTGGAGAAACATAAGTTTACAAAGAGTAACTTGCTTAAGCTCATAAGTACGTACAGAGACTAAATGAAGCAGCATGCACAGGGCTTGCATAGTTCTACATGAGGTCCTCAGCATATGCATTATGAATGGTTTCCAGTTTAATGTATTTTTATGGGGCTTCTGAGGGTGCAAATGAGTGGGTCTCCAATTCTTGTGCTTTCTCTTGGGCTCTTTTTCTTCTGTAGTTTGTTTTGTCCAACTTCAGTGAGATATATCTTTGATGTGTCTTACTAGATTTTATTTTGTTATATTTTATTATTATCTGTTAGCCTGTTCTTTTCTAGTAATAGACAGGAAGGAAGTAGATTAAGATGAAGGTGAAGGAGAGGTGGGAAGGAACTGGGAGGAGTAGAGGGAGGGGAAATTGTAATGAGGATATCTCACATGAGAAAAGAGTATCTTCAATAAAAGGAAAAACAAAGACATGTTTACTGTTGTCAGATTTGAACACAAGTATAGTTAAAGTACTGCTTATGAAGAAAACTTGCACATTTTATGAAATTGCTTTGTGTGGAGGCTATGCATTGTACTTCTGCAGTTATGTTTTATTTTCAAAATTGACTATCTACCACTATTGTGGCTAACGAAATAAATCCGCTCTTGAGAAATAATTGAAAGTGATTTGATTGGGAAGTTTTGTCATTCTGGTACGTAAATTAATGATTTTGAATTCTACAGTGTGATACTTTACATGCGTATATGTATTTATATCTTACAGGTAACATTTTGTGGTGCATAGTGTTGTGCAACTAGGTTTTGTTTGAAAGTCTTCTGGATAATTTCCTACAGAGGACTTTTTTTTCCACTATTTTTCCCTTTTTATACACATTTTAAAGGGATTAATATTTCAAATGGCTAATAAATTCTAAAGGTTTTATTTTCAGAAAAATCTTAAATATATTTAGTTATGCTCTTATCTGCAATTTAAGTCAATTTGGCAGAGTATTGAAATACAAAGCAGTATTTGGAGATGGAAAATATCTTTTTGTCTGTTAGATACGGAGATCTTTCATTTTTGTTTTATTTTTAAGCCTAGTTATTTTATTACTGTATTATGCATTTGTTAATATGCATTCACCAAGTACATGTTGCTAAGAAAACAGCCAGATTTTTAGACTAACTGGAATACAAAACAAACAAAATACACTACCTTTGGAGTATGTATGTTATGGAAGGAGGCAGATAATAAATATCGTACATAAAAATGTTTTATTTGTAAATGATTTTAAAAATCAAATCCATCCCGATGTAAAGGGTATCAAGAGTTATTTTTGGTGGTGGGATGAGGTGCAATTTTCAGTCGGCCAGTCTCTTCCTTTGAGGACTGGATAAAAAAACCAACAAAACCACCCCAGCTTGGCAGGCAGTAGGTACACAGCTAATGCAAACACCCTAAATGAGAACCATGTCTGAAGTTTTAGAAGAATGAGGCAGATTAGCAAGGTGACAAAGGAGAAGTCAGACAGGGTAATGGGCACCTCTTAGGTAGCTTCCTGTTGATAGGATAAAATACCCTAACAAGCAGTTTAAGGATGAAAGGGTTTGCTTGGCTCACAGTTTGAGGTTACAATAAGGAGGGAAGTCAAAACATCAAGAATTTGAAGTAGAGGGCTGGAGAGATGCTCAGTGGTTAAGAGCGTTGTCTGCTCTTCCAGATGGACTCGGGTTCAATTCCCAGCACCCACGTGACAGCTCACAACTGTCTGTAGCACCAATTCCAAGGAGTCTGACACCTTCACATTAATGCTCATAAAATAGAAATTAAATAAATTATTTAAAAAAGGAAGAAATTGAAGTAGCTAGTTTTATTGCATTCCCAGTCTAAAACAGAGAACAGTGGATTCATTCATTGATGCGAGTGCTCAACTTGCTTTCTTTATTTTATACAGTCAAGGATCCCTGAGATGGGTTTCCTAACATTAGTTAATTTAATCAAGATAGTCTCTCACACAGACATTCTCAGAGGTTAGCTTTAATATAGTTAGTCCTTCAAGTTATACCCTGGAGACCTGCTTTCTACATGTCATGTTGACAGGTAATATTAGCTGTCATATGGGACAAGTTTATAGAGACCTTGGTAGCTTCGTATCAAAGGAAGTTTGTGATTACTTGGAATCAAGTGAAAATAATGTAGATTTGAGTAGAGAAGGTGGTGATCATGGCACTTGAAGTCAGGGTACATTTGAAATTCACCAGTCTGCCTAGAGGGTTATCTTCTTGGCCTGGGAGGGTAAGAAAGCCCAAGGGAAAATGGTTTAATGTTATTACTTGGTAGGGTTTAGAACTATTTCCTAGTCCCATAACTAGGAAAATAAATCTAACTTTAAATCAAAGTTAAATTTCTACTTATTTTATATTAAAGCTATGAATAGTTTCATGTAAAGAAACACGTTGCTTTATATCCTCTTAGTCTGTTCAATGATACTCATTTGAAAAATAGATGTTCTACTTTAATACAATTTTAAAAATTTTGTAATTTGAGACATTTTCTTTTTACTCAAAAATATAATTAGCTCATTATTAAAATGTGAATAATTGGCATTTATTTTTTTCCCCATGAAACAATATTACATTGAACAGCCTTTTATACCTTATTAACCAAGATTCATTTACATTCCTTTTTGTTTAAAAGGCTCTGCGTTTGCTTGTGAATGAAATTAAATGTAATTTCTGTTTTTTAGTGAAATATAGTTAAGATCTAAAATCTAGTAGGATTAATAGATATTATAGTAATGGTATAAAAAAAAGAAAATTGTGAGGCTGTTGAGTCCTAGATTATCTTTTCTTTGTAAAAATGGCCTACCTTTTTGATATAGCCAGAATTTTTTTTCAAATTTGCCCTCTTCAATTGTATTTCAATATTTTTTATTTCTCGTAATTACAAGGTTTGAATCACCAACTCAATTCTCTGACAGCTCTTTATATTATTTTTTCACTATGTCATATCTTTAGTGCTGTTGATAGGTTCATAACTTAGTTGAAAGCATAATATTCTGTCCTACAGGATGGAATGCTAAGTAGTTATTTGTTAAGTGTCATTAAGCAAGGTTAAAGATAGTTTCTGTGTTTCTAGAATGTTTTACTCGAAGATTTCAATGTTCTAGTGGGCTGGATTTTTTTCCCCCCAATTGACTCAAATTTAATTCTAGTTATCTTGAAGACTGAGTAAACCCTGTTTTTAAGGCAGTAACACTTTCTCATATATAAAATATTTTATACATTATCAACTCTAATTTTTTTTAAAGCTATGTCTAAAAATTTTGGTATGAGCTAGTGCTTGTGAAGTAATAGTTTATTTTAGTTGTCTCCAACAATTGTGTCTTCATACCTGAACAGTGTTAAATATTCTTATAAAAGTTGACATTCTAAGAATATTTTAAGTTTTGTGTACAAGGTACATTTTATTAACACTGTCATTGTTTGGGTTATATGTCATTAGTAATTGTAAATTTCTTACAGTACAGGCAGGTCAATCTGAGATTCAGTGGTCTGTGGTATTTGAATAAGATAGTTTGATTTTGCTTCTAAAGTATAGCTGATAGCTGGCTTTGTGTGCACAAATTAGTATTAAAGTCAAGCATTAGATGGTTTAATACCAGGTTATTTCTGTGTGTAAGGAAAATGTGTTAGAGGCTAAACTATCATGGAAACTTTACTGAGTTTCCTGTTACCCTGAATTATTGTATAATCTGCTTAAACTTAACTAAGTTAATTCACAGCTCTCAGACTTTTCAGGTGTTAGATTATTGAATGGTAGTCATAAGCTAACACAGGTATTTGTTGTATTCAAATATGATTCTGTAATAGAACATAAAAGAAAGCATTATGAAATTTAACTTTGAAATTGTGACCCTTAAAAGCCTGTTGAGCATGTGTGTTTGTTATCTTTTCAGCAGGACTCACAGAAATATAGTGTAAGCCAAAAATTGCATGTGAAGAAAATGGCCGAGATAATTAATGTTTCATACACTCTAAGATATAGTTGCTAGGCCCTAATCTAAGTTAAATACGAAACTGTGTGTGTGTGTGTGTGTGTGTGTATAAAGTACACACTGCTTTTAAGAAATTTTCTTTCTGATTAAGTTCAAGTGAGAAACTATTGTGTTAGTTTGCCAGTATGGCTGGCAATCTCCTTTGGGGGGGGGGGGAATAAGCCTTCAGTTACAAAGAAAAAATACAAAATGCAGATTTATTGCATGCCTTCTCTGTCCATAAGTTATGTATAGAAGGCTAAGTAAAGTAGTAATTTAATTAGGTGAGAGTTAGCACATAGAACAAATCAGCCTCAGCTCTGAAGTCAAGATCCCCAAAGGTCTTCTGTTTGCATTCTGGAAAGGTAGTTTTAAAAGTCGTCCTGTGAGTATCATTAGTTGATGAAGAACAATCACTAGAGTCCAGATTTTATATAAATGCTTCTTTTTTAAAGAACTTTGACTAAAGAGTAAAGTTTTGAGTTTTAATTCTAGTTTTGTGCTTTATATGTTTGTACCTGGACAAATTATTTAACTGCATTTGGTTATTTGTAAGATGAGAATAATGAAGACAGGACAGTTATTTCAAGGAATTAAATTATTGTTTATTTAGAAGACTTTTAAAGTAGAAACAATATAGAAAGTGTCTTTTTTTTAACAAGCATGTGATAAATGACAAAAATGAGTTCTAGAAGTTTGAATTTAAGAAACCTAGTTTGTTTCTGGAGTACATTTATATTCCCCCATTTTCTTGGTAGCGGATACTCTGTTTTCAAGGAAGCTGAATGGGAAATACAGACTTGAGCGACTTGTTCCAACTGCAGTGTATCAGCATATGAAGATGCATAAACGAATTCTTGGACACTTATCATCGGTGTACTGTGTAACTTTTGATCGAACTGGCAGGCGGATATTTACTGTAAGTCATTTTTTAAATCTTTCCTGGTAGATAGACTTGAAGAAACATTGCATATACGAGAATTTGAAGTTAAAAAATTTGTTTTTTTCTTTTAATGGGAAACTGGAAATTGGGTAATTTTTAAAAGCATGCTCTACTAAGTTTCTGTTTAAGTTTGAACTTTTTCCAAGTTTAGAAGCTTCCAAATTTAGAGCTGTTACAGTGTAATCACAGTTATATGATATCCTATGTCATGAATATATGTATTCCTTAATATTATATCAAATAGGTTGGTGAGATTTTTATAAAATGTCATGTAGTTTTTTTAAATTTAGACCAACAGCATGGGCAAACTGTAGAAAAGTATTGTCTGCAGAGAACCACCTGCTAACCTGAGAAAATGTCCTTCAAATGGCGATAGAAATTCTGCACATATCTGACACTCTTTGCTCAGGATTTGGTGATCCTTAACACCTAATTATTTAAAATAGCTGATGATTTTAAAGAAGCATTTTGTGAGTTGTTTGTTCCTATTTCTCTTAATCTGCTGCAGGGAAAAGGAACAGGGCTTATCAGCATTAAGTGAGAAAAATTATTTTGGAAGTATTTCAAGTTACTTATTCAAGTGCCTTAACTGTTATACTCAGGATAATATTTATCATACTACTAAGGCCATACTTATTAAAATATTACCCTTTGGGCTGAAAGTATGAATTCACACAGTCCTTATTTGCCTTTGAGATAGAAAATGGGAGGTAGAACTTCAAATAGAAACATTAATTTCTCAGCAACTTATAGAAACAGATGTAGAAACCCATAGCCAAACATTAAGGGGAACTTAGGGAGTCCTGCTGAAGAGGGGCAGGAAGGATTTACCCACAGAATCAACTAACGTGGGCTCATAGTGGCTCACCAAGACTGAACCAACAATCAGGAGTGTGCTCTGCATATATTTTAGTGTTATCTAGCTTGGTCTCCTTGTGTGACTTTAACATTGGATGTGGGGGCTGTCTGACTCTTGCCAGCTTTTGGAACTCTTCATACGGGGTTGTCTAGTCCAGCCTTATTGCAACTTGATATGCCAAGTTTGGTTGATGTCCGTGGGAGGCCCCCTTTTTCTGAAAGAAATGGAGGCGTGGTGGATGGGGAGGGTTGGCGGGAGGGTGGATGGGACACAGGGATAGATAGGATGGAAATGGAATGACTGCAGTCAGAATGTAAAATAATAATAATAATAAATTAAATTCCCATTTCTGACTGAAAAACTGCTGCAAACTTGAGGTTTATTTTGTTTTTTAATGCATAGGAGTGTTTTGCCTTTGTGTATATGTGTGTGCCATGTGCATGCCTGGTGCCCATGTAGTTCAGAACAAAGAATCACGTTTCCTGGAGATGGAATTAACAGTTGGTTGCGAGCTTCCCTGTGGGTGCCTAGGACTTCTACAGTAGCAACTGAAGCTGGGTGTGGTGGCACCTGCCTTTGACCCCAGCACTCAGGGAGGCAGAGGCAGACATGGTCTACAAAGTAAGTCCTGGACAGCCAAGGTTATACAGAGAAACCCTGTCTCAAAAAAACCAAAAATAAATAAATAGCAATGATTTTAGATTCTGAAAGAATTTTGCTTTTGTTTTTAATTTACTTTTAGTCCGTAAGGTGTTTGTACTTCACTCCCACTATCAATATTTCCTACTTTCACATTTTATCTATCTCCATTGTGCTTATGAAACAAAAATAAAAATTTCTAACCTTTATAGATAAACTCGTGAAGAACAGGTATCTGTATTTGCTTTGTGCTTGCTATATTCACATTAGTATTTCACTTTTAATTGTTACTGAATAGCAGCGTAGTCATTAATTTAAGAAGTTAATGTTTAGCTTTCAAAACCTAAGTCATGGCATTTCTAATGTTTGAAGGAATTCCTTTAACGGCAGTAATAAACTAAAATAATGAGAAGTATTATATTGGGATTTTACTTTGGTGACTATGAAAAATTTACATCATTGGCACTTTATTAAAAAAGTATAGGTTTTTATTTCTTCTATGTTATTAAAGTATCTTATGGGGAGTACTCTATTTAAAAGAAATGCGGATTGTAAATATCAAGTTTTATGCAGGATTTTGTGATTTGATAGGAATTTGATGCATAATGTCTTGGACTATTTGGAGGAAACAATGAAATAAAGTGTTTGCTTCTATGTTCTGAGCTTAGTAAAATTATCTGTACAACATGTGAGAGTACTTTGAACCAGGGATAATCACATTAACTGTCTTTGGCTCTATCTAGCCTACTATTTATCCTTGTAAATAGTTTCTTAAGGTTGGTTATATACTGTATGTAGTCACTGTTGAACTACAAAGGCACTGACTGATTCATGGTTTGTCACAGAATCATATTGCTTGCAGAGTCAAAATTACTTATTATCTGGCCTTGTACAGAGAATGTACATCTTGATATTTAATTTGGGAAAGAAGGATAAGTGAAGAAGAAACTAATTTGTGGTTATTTCCTTTAATTGAAGGCACATAAGAAAGGGAAGAAAATAACTTCATGATTATATGGTCTTAGCTATACTCTAAAAGATTTTTGTAAGAATGTGATATAATTTGCAAGTTGTGCCACATTCGTAGCTTCACTCATAGGATTTAGTAAATATACTCTAAATAGTACCTTGGAGTAAAAATGCTGAGAGAGCCTAGTTTTTATTTTTTAAAATTTACTTTGTATTTACGGGTATTTTTGATTTTTGTGTGCACGCGCATGTGTTTGTATGAGCACGCTTACTCACATACCTGCATTAGTTTATGTGTAGAGTCATGGAGTAGAAATGCTAAGAGAGCCTGGTATTTTTTTTAAATTTATTTTGCATTTACAGGTATTTGTGGTGTGTGTGTTCATTCACACACCTGCATTCGTTTATGTACAGGTGCCTGCAGAGGCCAGGTGTCAGATTTTCGAGATCTAGAGTTAGAGGCAAGTGTGATCAGCCTCATGGATGATGGGAACTAATTGGGTTTTTTAGTACATGCTCTTAATCTCTGAGCCATCTCCTTAGCTGTGAGACCTTTTTTTTCTTTTTTTTACAAGTTTTATTTTTGTGTTACTTCAGGCACAATTATATTTTCTGCTCATATTACCTTGTAAAGTTGAATTGATAATGGTTATTTTCTCCTTCAACTAGAAGCATGCCATATACTGATGTCTGCTTGGAAATTGGGTCTTGAAAATTGAAAAGGGAAGGGTAAAGCTTTGTGATAGTAGTTCATGGCCAACAGATTTATTTGTCAGCATGTTGCCATAATTTGTTACAATAACAGTTTGGTAAAGGACTAACCAATATTTTCTTTTCATGTATTTGTTATTTTAAGACTTTTTATATCAAGTTGCTTGTGCTGCTGTATTTGAAAGCTTTTCTAAGGACTAAGAGCATCAGTATTGGCATTAGAGTGCTCTTAGACAGCTTTACCACATTTTAAGGACAGAGGGGAATGGATGATAATAATAGTAGCAACAAAATGGAATTTTTGTGGGAGTAGGTGAAACAGTGCACATGGTTAGTGTACCTATCTAGGGGTACAAAAAAAACCAGTGAGTTTACCTACTGCTGTTAAGTTTTAGATAGATGTAGGCAAGTGTTACCTGTTTTTACCTTTCTAAACTCGGTGGTACTAGATTAGATAGAACTCAAGCCTGGGCCACTGAGCTATGTTCCAACCTCCAGCTAAACTCTTGTCTATAAATGCAGTGAAAGGTTTTAGAGGAAATCATTATAATTGGTAAGTAAAATTTTGTGTTAGGAAAGTTGTTATTTGTGCTAATGTATTTTAATAATGAATATTTTTCTATTAGAATATTTTTTTTTAAGAGGAAGGAAACAGCTTCATTATTAAGTTAGATTTTATTTTTTGATTCTCAGTTTGTAATCTTTTTGCTTGGTTTCAGAATCACTGCCTGAAATTGTGTTTATAAAACAATCAGAGTTGACCAAATAAAAGACAGATCTCAGATGGGTGTAGTGATGCATGCTTTTTAAAGCCAATACTCCAGAGGCAGAGGCATATAAAGTGAGACACATCCAGTGCTGGAGAGAGGGGGGGAGGAGAAGAGGAAGGGAGAGGGAGGAACAAGTCTTTTTAGAAGGTAAAATGTATTTCTTTTCCATTGTGATTAAGGCAGAGGAATGTAACATGATACCTTTACTAGTGCGTTACAGTAAAAAAAAAAAAATACAAGTTGATGTATTTCTTTAATGAATTTAGATCTTTTTACCAATTACTATTCTAAGAATTGGAGATAAAAAATTTGAAGACATTTGTTCACTAGTAGTAAATGGACAGTAATGATATTGTATGGTATGAACTTTTTGAGAGAGGATACCTATTAGAATAGGTTTCTAATTCAAATTACAGCAGAAGACGGTAAAGGAATTTGGTGGAGAAGTAACACCTTAACTGAATTGAGTGGATATTGCAGTGTTACAGAAAGGTGTTTACAAACTTTGAGAACTATAATGTATAATTGAGTACTATTGGATATAGCACAGAATTATATATGGGTTATCATTGAGCGTGAACTGTAAACCTGATGGGAACAGAATATACAACCTGTTAAAAGTACGCCTTGAAAGGCAGGGGAAAGCAAATGATAAAGTGTACATAGTGTTTCTTATTAAGGTAGAACTGCTACAAAAAACAGGCTAGTCTGGAGTTCACCATCTTTCTAGCTCATGTTCAGCCAGAGTGGTGGGATTGTGGGTGTATCCTACCATGCATAGTGGAATATCTCTTTTAATGGATCTTATTGTGTGTGGATTAAACAAAAGTGATGTTGGGGGTGGTAGATTGAGAAGGTTTTGGCAGTAAGCCATGAAGCAGAGCAGAGCTTGAACAGTCACAGGAAATGAGAATTAGATTGGCTCATTGAAAATAAGATTTATAGAACTCAGTATTGATGTAAATTGTGACGACACATATGAGAGGGTGTGTATTTAACGGAAAAGTGTGTTTTACAGAAAGTCATCT